GTTATGACGAGGGATCACTTAAGTGAAGTCAAGAGCCGATTACTGGTGAAGTAACGTTCAAAGGGGGGATCGGCTAAATTTCACCCTGTTTAGCCCCCGTTTTCCCGAGAAAGGTATGGTGAAATACCACACCAGTTTCTTCGGGAGATGTGTGAAACGCCTAATTTAAGGCAGGACACCCAACGCCTGGGGCTCGTGACAGATTCAGTTACAACTTATCATTCATCAAATTGTCAACTACCGCTTTAAGCGGTCCTGGATAGCTATAACCAAACAACTCGAAATCTTTTTTATAAATACTCTGTAGTTGCCTTATCCTGAGCAGAGAAAGAGTAGAATAGTACTTCTGCATCAACTCGCTAGTGTCTGTTGGTTGCCATTCCGGAAAGTTTACCTTGTTTTCCAAGTTTGTTTTTCTTAGAATAAACATGGCGTCCTCAGCCAGTGTTTCGTAATGTCCGATGCTCCGATGTAATCGAATTGTATGCTACAAGGATGACATAATTTATATTGTTCCCGCTATTGTTCTTCAAACAAACCACCTTCTCTTCGTCCAAGAACCAAATAGGTTACAAATTGTTCAAACGTTACTTTTCCAGAGTATGTTTCGTTAGGAAGATTAGTTCTACTCATCAGAACCTGTTTTATTATTTCCTGGTTATCTTTCCAGTATCTTGTTTCGTCTTGAATTTCCCCCAGAAGCAATCTCTATAGGCATTGGCTACGACGTGAACTGAAAATGTCTATGCCTGTCGAGGTATTACCTTAGCACCAATATTATAGCGAGCATATTTTGTCAGTCCCTTGAACCATCGTTATATCGAGGTTTCACTTTCTTGAAGTTCTTTTCAACAGTATTAACTATTGTTGGCGCGAAGAATATCGTTTCGTTTTTCAGTTTGTGAAAAGATGCGTTTACATTGACTGTTTTTACTGTATGAGGCGCATGGATGGAGGCTGAACTGATCTGGGGTTAAAAATATCCGTGTTACGCCTTTATGCTAATTCCTGAGGATTCAATACATTAAAAACATCCTGGGGCACTTATAACAGGTGAGTTACGGTTCTTCAAGGAAAAACACTGGTGCCTAAGAATCGAACCTCAATTTGCTTCCCTTTCCTTTTCTCTCCCCCGTTTTAATTTGAACACTCTGAACGTTATCGATCATTTGCAGGTCTCGTGACTAATATTTCAGCAATGAATATTTCACAATTGTTAAGGCCGCCAAGCTAACACGTTTTGTCTAGTTTCATGACGACTGATCATATCAATCTGTTTCAAATGCCTCTTCGCCAACTTATGCAAATTTTGCAGCTAGTTATCATGAAATTCAGAGTCAAAACGTTTTCAAGGAGAGGATTTAAATGTTTCTATCTCGCTGCTTTAATGTTAAGCTGGATTTGCCTCATGTTTTTCTTCTTGTTGCCGCCCTCCAATTCAATCACTGAATGCGATGTACTGGACTCGAAAAAGATGAAAATGCAATTACTTGGAAACAACCCAAACAACGAAAACGCTAGCGCGCCGAGACAGTCTGTGAATAAATCCGAGAACCCAGTACTGAAACACAAGACGACATTGATCACAACGAAAACTTGTTCGCAACACTACTTATCTTATGAAGAATTATGGAGATCGAGGAGGGTGTTATCACGGCCGAGGCGGATAACACCCCCCGAGATCTCCATAATTCTTCATATGATACGAAAGCCGAATTCAATAATTGTTTTATTATTCATTCAAAATAATTCCTAGCTTAAAAACAAAGCTAAAACGTGCTTACCTCCATCGATGTTAAGTTCACCTTCGATAGTGCACGTTTACTTAGGGTTGTTCAGCTCCGCAAATATTCTCCAAATAGCAGTTGTCGCCCTTCGAGTTGTGTTCTTGTTGTTCTTGCCATGTTTTTAGCTACATCTTCGCCTAGTTCTTACTCTTGAAACGAGTGAAATGTCCGCCATATTTTGTTTTCTCAACCAAAACAACTCAACCTCGTCCCCAGGTCTTCTCGGTTAACGGTGCATTAACCTCTAGAAGGGTGCATTTTTGACGTCATTTCCTCGTTAAACGCAAAATTCTTCCAAATCTGGTCATCAGTAACTGGTTATGGTGAATTATGCGTGTGCTTTTAGCCAATCAGAATCGGGGAAATATTTTGAATGAATAATAATGGCTCTTATTATTCACTCAAAATATTTCCCCGATTCTGATTGGCTAAAAGCACACGCATAATTCACCATAACCAGTTACTGATGACCAAATTTGGAACAATTTTGTGCTTAACGAGGAAATGACGTCAAAAATGCACCCTTCTAGAGGTTGATGCACCGTTAACCGAGAAGACCTGGGGACGAGATTGAGTTTTTTTTCGTTGTAAAAACTAAAATGGCGGACACTTAGCTTCAAAAAAATCGATATAATGAAACGTCGTTATAGCGAGCATATTTTGTCAGTCCCTTGGACCATTGTCATATCGAGATTCCACTTCTTGAAGTTCTTTTCAACAATACTAACTATTGTCATAGGGCGAAGAATATCGTTTCGTTATTCCGTTTGTGAAAAGATGCGTTTACGTTGACTGTTTTTACTGTATGAGGGCACATGGATGGAGGCTGAACTGATTTGGGGTCATACTTGAGATATTTTTTTTATATTATGCCTTATGCTAATTCAGTCTGAGGATTCAATAAATTAAAGACATCCCGGAACGCTTATAACAGGTATTTATGGTTCTTGAAGGAAAAAGAGCTTGAAACTTAAATTGTATTTATATATTGTCTTATTCTCGTATCTTTTTTCATTCTGTACGTCTCATAAACCTTTTCGCCTGGATTAGGCCTTTTCTATTTGTGGGGATGCTTTCTTGAATTCACGTATTGAAGCTCTTTCTCTTTTTTACAGGCTTTGTTTCCTCACTCCACCCTCCCTCCCTCTCTTCTCTCGACGGCACGCTTGCAGGAGCAGCTGTATCATTTTGTGGTCTTTATATACTCCACTCAGCTAAGTTAAGGCATGGGTTGAAAGGCTAATATATAGATTTAGCCAGGGCTAAAAGCGAAGCTCTCGATAATATTTATAGTTTGTTCAAACAAAATATAAAATCGTGTAATGCGAAAATATTTGACTAGTTTCATGACGACTGATCAAAGCAATCCGTTTCCAATGGCACTTCGCCAAATTATGCAAATTAAGAGGTGAGACATGATGCCTTAACATACCTAAGTAGTTGAGGCAAAATGAACATCAACATTTTTTTTTTTTGCCGCTTTTTATCCCTTAGCCACCCTTAGTCCCCGTGTAAAACATCACGTGATATGCAATTGAGAAGCTTATTAGAGAGTTTTTCTCTTTAAAAATTAAAAAGAGAGATTTGCTATACGGACTAGAGGCTTACAATCCGTTCTATCAAACCCACTCGCAGCTAGTTATCATGAATTTCACGGTCAAAACGTTTTCAAGGAGAGGATTTAAATGTCTCTATCTCGCTGCTTTAATGTTAAGCTGGATTTCCTTCATGTTTTTCTTCTTGTTCCGCCCTCGAATTCAATCACTGATGCACTGGACTGGAAAAGGATGCAAATCCAGTTACTTGGAAACGACGCAGACAACGAAGAAGCTAGCGCGCCGAGACAGTCTGTGAATAAATCCGAGAACCCAGTACTGAAACACAAGACGACATTGATCACAACGAAAACTTGCTCGCAACACTACTTTCTTCTTATCTTGGTTTCTTCAGCGCCTTGTAATTTACAGCGAAGAAAAGACATCCGCCAAACATGGGGTGTAGACTTTGCTTTGAATCCTCGCTGGAAGACTGTCTTCCTTGTGGCCCAGACGCGGAACAAAAGCGTTTCAGACTTATTACTGAAAGAGGAAAACGTTTTCGGGGACCTTGTACGAGCGCAATACTACGATCATTACTGGAATCAGACCCTTAAGATACAAATGGCATTTGAGTGGGCTTTCATGTATTGTAATTTTTCCTTTCTTTTAAAATTGGACGATGACACATTTGTTGATATTAAAGGTTTAATCTCACTACTTGCCAAGCCTGCAACTCCTCAAGGAAAGCTTTATATTGGAAAGTGTTTTAAGAAAGCCAAAGTGAAGAGGAAGGGAAAATGGAACATTTCGTTTGAAGATTATAATGCAACATTCTATCCAGATTACTGTTCTGGGTTTGGAATTGTCTTATCTTCTGATGTTATTAATAAGTTTGTTGATTTGTTTGACGTTGTCCCAAAGTTCAAAGTCGACGATGTTTACATCGGTATGCTGGCCGAAAAAGCTGGTGTGAAACCTGTTTTTAAGGGTGACTTTCTAAGCAGATTTTCTATGCAACCACCGAGAAGTAAAAGCTGCGTCGATCTGAAGAAGCATATTTTAGTAAGGCATGGAATTATAGGAAAATGTTTATTTGAGTTGTTTCAAGCCACATTAGGTATTTAGATTTAAATGACTGTTTTGAAGCAATTTCAGTCACAAAATAAAACTAAAATTTATGCCGTGATTCAGTTTTATCCTTGGTTTGTTTTAAACTCGTTATGCATACCAACCATACCTAAAATCGATGAAAATAGAATTTAAACCAATGATAAAATTGAAGCGCATCATTTATTGCAAGGAACTGTCATTCGTCACTCGTTGACGTAGAAATCTCCGGACCTAGAGGCTAAATGCTAAATGATTCAAACGTAAGAAAGGAGGGAAATTAGTACTTTACGCGGAGGGTACTCAACGAAGTTCTATTGCAGGGAGGCTCCGCCCCGATGTCCAACCCCTCATTCTTTTACGTGTTTTTTTCATATCATTTTTGAAGGAAAAGGTACCCCTTTTCTTTACGGTCTATTGACAAAAAATACCCCTTTCACATATCTAGTTTAGAACTTTGCATCTCTTTTAGCTGCTGTAAATGCGCTTTCTTTAAAATATGAATAAATAAAAAACCAGACTGGGAACGTTTTTTCGACTTTTTCACAGCCATAATGAAATGCATCTGTGATCTCTTTCCGGCCTTTTTGCAGACGTAAATGACAGATTTCCCTACCCCGTCATATACTTCAACAGGTAAAATCCCTACCCTTTCATAAAACTAAGCCTGAAAAAAGTACCCCTTTCGGGTGGACCCTCAACGTATAGGCCGGAAGTACCCCCGGCCACTACCTAAGATTATCTTGTTTCTATTGTTTGTATTGTTGAGTCGCATATGAGGCCCGTATGAGAGTCGCGAGACCCGTATGAGAGTCGCGCTTAAAAGCAGCGACTCTCATATGGGTTTAGTCGTAAAATTTCATGCCACAGTTCTTTTGCAGCTTCTGAGGCTCTGCTCAATGTCTTGCGCGAATAGAGGTTAATTTCGGCATTTCCACTTTAAGTGGACAGAAAACATGAAAAACGCGGCATAGTTCAAAACCTGACGCGAGCTAATATCGCTTGAGGCTTTTCCGTGCACAGCAAGAGTCCATAACCCATATACTTTCCCACCTGTTATTACTAAATGAGAGGCAAATTTCCAATCCTCATGTTGAAATAATATTCATGGAAACTGAACATTTAACGGTCTCTCTCGAGTACAGAATTTGAAATTCGAGTATTATGAACGCGAAATTTTATAACAAAGTTAGCCACGTTATACCCTGGGGGCCAGAGGCTTTTCATGCGCGGTTTCCGATCTTAGTTAAGTCCTAAAAAGTACCCCCCTCGTGTCTTCGGCCTTCGGGGACGTGCGAAGATTATCGTCGCACGCGAGAAAAAATCTCTGGTACCCAGTGTGGCAACGTAATACAGTTGCTGTCGAAGAAATCTTAGTCCGAAGTTTATACTGACTTAATTTACCCTGGATATCAGAGGTTTTATCACGCGCATGCAGCAGGCTGGATTTGATAATGATGCCCGGTAATAAGAAATGAAAATAAGAGGTTGACCACTCAAATTTGCTTGGGAAATTAAGACATGGGAGGGGGATTGCGAAAGTCATCAAATGTTATTAGGGGGGATCACTTAAGGGAAGTAACGTTCAAAGGGGGCATCGGCTACATTTCACCTTGTTTAACCCCTGTTTTCCAGAGAAATATATGGTGAAAGACCATACTAGTTTCTTCGGGAGATGTGTGCAACGCCTAATTTAAGGCTGGATACCTAACGAACCACAGGACACCCAACGCCTGGCGTTCGCAACAGATTCAGTTACAACTTATCATTGATCAAATTGTCAACTGCCGCTTTAAGCGGTCCTGGATAGCTATAACCAAACAACTCGAAATCTCTGTTATAAATACTCTGTAGTTGCCTTATCCTGAGTAGAGAAAGCGTGGAATAGTACTTCTGCATCAACTCGCTAGTGTCTGTTGGTTGCCATTCCGGAAATTTTACCTTGTTTTCCAAGTTTGTTTTTCTTAGAATAAACATGGCATCTTCAGCCAGTGTTTCATAATGTCCGATGTAATCGAATTGTATGCTACAAGGATGGCATAATTTATACTGTTCTCGCCAGTGTTCTTGAAACAAACCACCTTCTCTCCGTCGAAGAACCAAATAGGTTGCAAATTGTTCAAACGTTACTTTTTCAGAGTATGTTTCGTTAGGAAGACTACTTCGACTCATCAGAACCTGTTTTATTTTTTCCTGGTAATCTTTCCAGTAATCTTGTTTCGCCTTGAATTTCCCCCAGAAGCAATCTCTATAGGCAGAAAGTAGACGTTCAAACGGTTCCCTTACAAACAAGAATTTCCTATATGTCTTTAGAATTGTCTCGCGTTTCCCCAAAGAATAATCGTTAAGAATTTTGAGTTTTCCTTTAGTGTTCTTGTGAATCCCATTTGAAATGTTAAGACCTTCTAGTTTTGCCATTATTCCCTTCCAGACTGTGCATGCAACCTTTGGGACAGAGCAATAGACAATTTTGTACTTCTCCACAACGAATAAGTTATCCAAGTCCGGATCAACGTCGACGCTTTGGGGATCTGTTCCATACTTTGCGCAATATTCCTTAATATTTTCCGTTGCTTTCCTCTGCTTGACTCTCATCGATACTTCCGATTCATTTTGAAGCTGCAGAAACAATAATAAATGAAGGGTTTAGTTTCAAAAAAATTACTGTATTTCAAAAGTGCTCCGTCTGTTGGGGAGCGAAACAATTTACCAATGTGACTGGTAAAACAGATTGACACCCAAAAGGGGCACTTCTTCTGCTTTCAGGTATATGAAAGAGTATGAAAATCTGTCATTTCGGTCTGTAAAAGGACCAAAAAGGGCTGACAGTTGCATTTACAGATATGAAAGAGACAAAAATGTGAAAACAGAGTGGGAAGGCTTATGAGCGGTAGTTTACGGTAGTCACAGTCGAGACAACGAAACTTTAAAGATTCAAACTATATTTTCTCAATTCGACATCCAAGGCGTCTTTTTTCAACTTAATTAGCTTTGTGGTTCCCAGCTTTGTTGAAACCACCGCTTATTTAGTTACGGTGTTTACTTAGGCAAGGCTTTATAAACACCGTCCTTGGCAGCCGTTTATCTTGTCTTTATAACTAGACCTTTCATTTTACAGTCCCCTATTTATCCATAACTGATTGTCAAAGTGGAGCGTTTCTGGCGTTTATATATTTGAAACCAAGATGGCGGCCTGTTATTCAAAGCGCTCGATCACGACGATCTTATAGGGGAAATTAGAGTACTGTAAACCTTATAGCCTATGGTCTAATGTTAAGCCATTATAAATTCCTGAAGAGCTTATTTGGAGCCTTCCCTTTTTACTCCCGGCGTTTTTCGAGAAAACATGGAAATCTTTTACCCAGGCGAATAGGATAGTATGTACGATACATACATAACTTTGATTTTCCAGCGATCCCTATTCTCGGTTTTCACATGACGTCACCAAAATTCAAACTACGAAACTATCGATTCTTCTGAGTTTCTGAGTTTCATGAGGTATTACAGCACTATAAACTGTTATTTAAACAAAGTTTTAGTTCCAAAGGGTTCTTCGTTTTGCGATAGGGGACGTTTGAATTTGTAGGCTTTTGCGTGACGCGGCATTTGGCTGGCGGTCGGGAAGGCTCTTATGTGGGTTAAAAACATTACCAATTTTGGGAGACTTTGCTATCTAAACATTCCTTGTCTCAGAATAAATATCACTTTAATCCTTTATGAGTTTTTCAAGCAATGATTTCACGCATTAGTAGGAAAACTCAAAGACAGATGTTTCTGTTGGTTTCCGGCGGCCATATTTGTGCCCTCAACGGGACACAAACATGGCGTCTCCATACAAAGCTTTACAAATTTAGGTAAAATGTTTTCCCGAATATCTCGCATATGAAAAACCGCACAGACCTGATTCTTGGCGAGGCCTTTTGCATATTTATCTTCTTTTATTTCCTAGATTCTGGACTTTCTGTACTGAATGGTTTGCAATTTTATTTTCGATTGCGTGACAGTGAAAACCGAGAATAGCTACAGCAGTCAACTCCCTTTATTGCGGACATTGTAGCGACCTCAAATTAGTGTCCTCATTAGCGAGAGTCCGTAGTAGCGAGAGTTTATCTCAGTCAAATGTCTGTACTTTGTTTTTGCAGGGGATTTAGCTGCTGTCCGTATTGTCGGGGTATCCGTTATAGCGGGGTGTCTGCAAGGCGTGAGTTGACCGTACTCCGTCACGTGCAAAGAGTGGTTTTATTTTTTTTGTTGTTGTTGATGTAGAGACAAACGAATTAAATTAACTAAGTTCATTAGAACCTGAAATTCACAAATAATTGTCAGAATGAAAAGGGGACCTTTGCATGTATTTTGCCATGGATAATACTGTTCTCGTTGAAATTGAAATTGAAAAAAATTTTCATATTACTCGGCATATGAACAAACCTTCTGCACCAGCGAGTAAACAAAAATATAATGACAACACCGGTACCCAAGCGAGAAGTAAAACACACCTTGACTTTGACTATTGAGCAAAAGAAAAAAAAAACTTAAATCAACACTCGGAAACTTGAAGTGAAAAGATTAAGCCAAAGGTTTTTCTTTATAAGAAAAACGATTTAATAAGAAATGCCTCACACGGATTTTAATTGTTTTAAGTGAGTGAATTGTGCCCGCATTTACATTGGAAACACGACGTATGTACACCATTTGACGCCACGAAAATATACCTAAAGTTTAAATTTTTCATTTGGGGTAAGGAAAAATGGCTTAAGAACCTCAAGATCAGTCTATATCGTTCGGGATTTTGATCATAAGAATAAAAAGAATAATTGCTTCCTTTGACTCATTCTGGGTTAAAAAAAAAACAACTTGGTGGAACCGATCACAAGCTGGAACGGTGGTAACCAACTTGGAATGATTCTGGAAACTTAGCGTTTTTTAACGTGCTATAAGTTACTTATGAGTCGGCGTATTTAAAGCTTATTTTCTTTTACCTCTTCTTCGGTAGGCTTTTGATCTGTCTTGATCACCCACGCTAGAACCGAAAGCAAGGAAACCAACGATAAAAACGTAGCCAATAGTTGAAAAGCATGGTTTCCAGATAGATTTCGCGTCACCATTTCATCACAACATGTCCCGAAACATGAAAACGTGGGAATGATTCACTGATATTATACGTTAGTGCAGTTTTTCTAATGTACACCGTAGTTTAATATTCAGTTTTCATGCTTAAGATTCCAGCTTGGCATATATGACATATGGACTGGACTCATGGACCGTATGGACTACGAAGTTGGACCATTTCAGTGTTGACTGTTGTTGTGTGGGATATGCTTACGCATCGCAAAACATTCTTGCACTATAATAAAAGCTTAACTAAATTTGAAAGTATCTACGTAATTGTTCCCTAGAATAATTCCCACTTTGATTAATTTTTTTATATAAACGCAAAAGATTTGAAATCAACATCTTACGATTTAAAAGGAAAAATGGACAACTCCAGTGACTCCCATTTGTCTTTTCGAACTGAAAGGACAGTTATCTGTCCTAAGCAACAGATCCTGGAGGAGATTACAAGTAGAAAACGAGGACTGAGCTCTTCAAAAGTGTTTTGAAGAGTCCCGGAAGGAATTAGCCTGTTCCAGGCGTACAGCTGGTGGAAAGTGTCGCAAAATGAAGACTGGAGGGAAACATTTTTCCGCGTCACATTCTACTCCCCCCGCATTTCCTTACCACCCTCTAGGAAAAAGAAAATCTTTGCCGCAGCGCCTGCCTCCCCCAAAAATGGTTCAAACAAATAGCTCAAAAAATGGTCCAGCAGTCCAAGGGTCATGGGTCCATTAGATATTTTGCTCTTACATGAAAATCCATCTTAAATGTAAAAGACGAAGCCGACTGTGTAAATATTGACACCTGGTAGCTTCAAATGGCGAATGATGATTGTGTGCCACTAAGTGATCTTTCGCTGCCGGTGTCTCTTTCTCCCGCTTTATTTGCTTTTAATCTATTCTACTTTTTAAAACACTTCAAACAAAAAGACAAGCCAAAAGCGGAGATGAAAGCAATTAATTCTAACCGCGGCCAAGTTAGTTGCTCTAACGAAATTCCACACTATCTAAGAAAGAATAAAAAATTGGCTCCTGAAAATGTGAAATAGAGGATATTACACGATGGCCAGAAGAGATGAAGTTTTGTTAGCGTGGCAAGAAATTGTCTCACGTTTGAAAGTAGCCAACGAGTGAGATATTGTTCTTGTCGTGAGAACAGAAAGTTCATATCTCGATCGAACTTGCTTGTAATATTCTTTTTATTAATTCATGGACAATAAATAAACATGGTGTAGATTGAAAAGCTGGGTTTAACTGCCCTTTTTACATATGCTGAGCTTAATACAAAATTCCTACAATAGGCCCTTCAATTCGGCACGGTTCTTTTCAACTTTTGACATGGACAAGAGTTAGGGGAAATCCGTCGACACCACTAGAAAGAGCGTCTCAAAATTATAGTAAAATTGCCAAGTTTAGTTTGAAAGTGGTTTGGTGAAAACTAACGAAGGTATAACTCCTCAAAGTCGCAAAATTTTACAGACATTTTTGGCCCGGTTCCCACCATACAAACCTTTGTAAATCTTCGGAGCTATATCTTTGCTCGTTTAAGACGCATCACTTTCAAATTTGGCAATTTTACTCATTTTAAGGCGCTCTTTCTAGTTGTTTCCACGGATTTTCCCTAACTGGTCCATGTCAAAAGTTGAAAAAACCGTTGAAGGGTCTACTCGGATGACTTGCTTGTCGCTAAGGTCAAGCTAACGTCTAAAGAAGAGAATCCATAGGTATTTTCTCGGAGATAGCAGTCGAACAACAGCTCTGTCAGATGAGGGCTTTTACTCTCTCTCTCTCTCTGATCCCAGAAGGTGCAGTGGTTTTCCACAGAATTATTTGCTTGGTCGGATCGAATCATTAGTTGTAGTTTGTGGTGAAGTACATTTGTTATTACAATACAGCTGAATACAGATGACTGACTGACTGACTCTGACGCATCCTCAGTAAGCTGCTCACA